AAATGAATTTAAAGGATCACAAGTTCAAGTCGATATAGTTTAAAGGAGCAAAATTGACAATGATGAAAATGCGAACTTAAAAAAGCTAATAGGAGAGGATCAATAGACAAAGCTTGAACCATAAAAGGTCCAGATGTGTTGGTATGATTGTTCTTTGATACTCATAACTCCCCCTTTACATGTAAATTTATTAAAATTCGCATGGGGAAATGAATATAAAATTCTATCACTTAATTTTGTGTACAGATGAAGATCAGGCATGGCATTGGACCTCTTTAATATTTGGTCCTTTTTTCTTTTGAGAATTTTTATCACATTCTATGCATGCTATAAATTTACTGATTCATTAATAACGTCAACATGATTTGGAGTATTTATAGGTGAGATTTGGTTAATAAATAAATCTTGTAATTAAGTTATTATTCGAATTTTTGGTTCCTTTGTCTAGAATTTTATCCTCCCCCCTAAGGATGAGGATACTACCTTATTAAGATGACAACTGATAAATCATGAAGTGAATTATCAATATTAGGGTCAATATATAATGAAGTTGTGGTTCCAGTTATTCATTGAAGAAGCCTCCAACAAATGCTCCAATAGCTACTATATTTCCTGCTCCTACAGTTGTGCAAAGTGATGGAGATTGAATTTTAAAAACATCCTTTAGATAATGTGCAAATCAAACCCTCTAAACCATCAGAAGTTGATAATGCAAAAATAGAAAATTACGAGCTAGACATTTCATCAGACAAACTACATGCTGAATTTGAATATTTTTAGATAATGTAAATTTTAATCGTAGTTATTATAATGATATTGATTACAATATTCTTTTGTTTTTCAGGATCCATCTTGTGTGATCTCTACTTCTGTTGATGAAAGAAGTCATGAAATCTGAAAAATGACAAATTTTGAATCAAAAAATGAATTTTAGTACAATGACAATGTAATTTTAATTGCAATTGTTCTTTTTTTTGGGACAGTGTTTGTTTCGACTTTCGAATGTTTATTTTAGACATTACCTTTATTAAAATAAAAAAAAATTATACGGGGCAAGAAATGGGGCAGACCCCCGCCCCTCCCCCTTTAAAACGGGGCAGGGCCCCGCCTCACTGCCATCCCTACGTCCCTATTTGTCTACTGTCAAACAGGGGCTTCACAAGTTTTGCAATTGCATTTTTATTTCAATATCGATAAATACTCCTTTAAAGGTGGATTGTATTGAAAATAAAGGAAAATAAAAATCTGGTTGTCGGGCCAATCGTCTGATCTTTTTAACCAGTGTTTTGAAAATTGAATTGTCATCTGACAAGATGGGCAAAACTTTGAAATTCTCCCCTGTTTGAATTTAAATTTTGGAAAATGCATGATGTACGGTCCTGTTTCAGGACCCCTCACATGCTCAGTGAGGGGATGGGGAGTGGGTGATCACCCACCCCTATAATGTGTGTGACCTGTACATGCAGTATTTCCTATTTTTCAGAAGTGATTTTCTTTTTTAATGTCTAATTAAAAATGAAGGAAAGTATATGAATTTACAGGTAAAATTATATTCTCTTTTGATAAAAATAAATTTTAAAAAAAGTGATTTTCAAAATATCAAAATCAAACAAGGGCCAGAACTTGGTCTAATTACAACTTTGATTCAAACTTAATCCCACTTAATTAATGGCATATATCTTGACATTTAACTTTCTTCGACGGTTAATTATTTCAACTGGGGCCTTTGACCTTTCTCTTGCTGATTGATATGATTTGATTGATTTTTTTATTTTTTTTTTCTGTTGGTCCTTCATTTTCGTTTCAACAAAAATTGAAAGTCTACAAACAAAAAGGCAAATAAAAATGACAATGGCGTCGCCCGGACTCGAACCGGAGACCTTCAGTGTGTTAGACTGACGTGATAACCAACTACACCACGACACCAGATGTGTTAATAATTCTCGTCCAAATTTTATATAGTCTCTAAGAATCTCTGATTTCCAAAAGCACCATGATTTTTCTAAGGGGTGCTCCGTGCCTAGCATCAACCCCAATAGTTGCTCGACATCAAATGATTTTTACTTTATCATTCTATGCTTTTTAATTTTTTTTAATAAGAGGATTAAACGGTATCACCCTTATTAAAAGGAAGCTTGAACCCGGATCATGTCTGATAAGACTTCACTTTTAAAACTTGAACTAAAATGTGACCTTATTTTATCCTTCTATACTCGTCTTTCTATTAAAGTCGTTATCAAAACTTATTTAAACTATGTTCCTTTTACTCTTTTTTTCTCGTTTCTCAAAAATGTTATAAATTAGCCAAATTGGTTCATTTGTAAAAATAAAATACATTTTTTTATGTTCTTTGATTTTTTTTCCCCTTTAAATATCCTCATATATAAATGTAAAAATTTAATGTTATCTTATCATAGTACCAAAAGTATAATAGATTTAGCATCGAATAAAGTTCAAAATTTGGAATATTTTTCTTTTCCTTTTTCAGGTCATAAACTTCTGATTAATCTTTTCTTCTTTCCTTTATATAAAAAGGATAATTTGGAAAACCAAGTTATTCAGTTGTTACCATTTCTTCAAAAAGAAAGAAAAACTCTCTTCGAGCTAAAAAAACAATTCGTTATCTACATTACAATGAAGAAAAATATAGAATGAACAAACACTATTTTGACCTAAACAAAACATATATTGTCACCGGGGGTGGAAAGTGAGACAAGCTACTTGCCGACTCAACTATTAAAGTGTAATTTTTGATAAAAATAAAGAAATGTCCATGAACAGCTTGCCAGATGGCTCCACTTGCCCTACCAAGGGACAAGATTGTAGGTGAATTGAGCCAACTTTGTTGGTGCGAGTCAGCTGACATTGTGTGTCGAGTGGCTTTGCTCGACCCGTTCAACACACCCTATATGCCAAACTCAGACAAACATACTTCACATTAAGAGGGTGTTTGATTTTCATTTTTCTTAAAATACATTTTTCTCTCTCTACTTTTCAACCACATTTTTCATTAAAATAATATTACACGCAAATCAAAATCTTTCCTTCTTTTTTAACCACATATTCTCTATCAATCTACTATTTCAAAATACATTCTTTAAAAATAATAAGGCTCAAACACCACCTAAATTGTCTTATCATTGCAAAAATGGACACACCTCAATTAATCCAAAAGCAAAACAGGAAAGGAATAATTGCAGCAGATGCTCCAAACTTTTAAAATGCAAGTAGACTTTTCTCAAAATTTTAATTTGTTGTAACTATCACTCTAAATCTTTCAAAACGTTGCGACGAAGGCCCTTATCACACAATTTTCATCCAAATGTCTGTTAGTTGACCAAAAAATTTGACTTCAACCATATTTGTAATATTTTTAAAAAGGTAAAATAGTAACTTTCCATTTGTTACATTAAAATAAGTTAAAAATTAAATTAGAATTAAAAAAAAAACTGTAGATCTTCAACTTGCCAACCCATCGCCATCAGCCATTGTCACCCATCGTCACTCTAATATCCATCCACCTACCTATCTCTGTCGCCTGTCATTGTCGACTGCAGCTACCACACTCCTCTTTTCAATTTCACCATTTTTCAAAAGCATGCTCAAAAAGGACTTGCCCAAGTTTTCGCATCAATGGGTAGGTTTGTGACAAATTTTCCAAGAATTGGAGTTCTGAACGGTAAGAAGCCATAGTAATTTTAGTCCCCTTGAAACTGTAATCCAAACTAGGATTTCTCCTTCGAGAAAGGTCATATGGCAATCCGTTGCTATAAAAATCATAGATTAAGCCAAAATCCCTATTGCACTTCTCAGTTCTCCCAAATTTTTGACCACTTACCTTCTCCAAAAATTTATTGATCATCGGTGGGCGTGCTGATGGTATGTGTTGGGTTCGATGATTTTCATTGGCGCCTACAGAAGGTTGGGGTGATATTTGGTTTGGGGTGATTTTGTGGTTGGGGGGTGTTGTAGAAATCATAGATGAAACCAAAATCCCTACTACACTTCTCCAAATTTTTCGACCACTTACCTTCTCCAAAAACTTATTGATCTCCGATGGGTGTTGGCTTCGACGATTTCCGTTGGCGCCAATTATAACAGACGAGTGGGGTGATTTTGTGGTTGGCTACGTGAGGTGGAGAGAGTGGGGGTGGGGTAAAAGAAGATGTTTTCTTTTCTTTTAATTTTTTTAATTTTTGTTTTTTATTCAATTATCCCTTTATTTAATTATTTTAATAGATATTTACTATTTTGCTCCTTTCTTTATTGATTAAAATATGGTCAAATTCAAGATCAACTGACGAAGAAATGTACGGAAACCATTCAAAGAGGGCCTCCATTGCAACATTTCAAAAAGTTTGGGGAGATATTTGCAACAAATTAAAGATTGGGAGAAAGTCTAATTGTGTTTTAAAAGTTTGGAGTCTTTGCTGAAATTATCCCAAAAGAAAATTCAGCCATCCTATGGAGAATAACACTAACAACATAGTATTAGCCATTGTTGTGATAACTTTAGTTTCATGTTCTTTACCATGGCCCCAGGGATGGCCATGGTGGATTGTACCACCATCACTACATTTATCTTTGCCTGTTCCAACTTCATTACATACAGTTTGCCTGTACAACCCTGAATGGCATGGCGATTGTGGTGTCTATAACGACCCGAATTTCTGTACCCAAACTGTTAATTTACGTATTGTCCATTTTGAGTAAGTCTTGCGCTCGCTCACCCCTCACAGCTTTCTATCGCGTCCCCCAAAATTCGAACTCTTAACATTTTCCTTAAGTAAGACTCAAGGGACTGTCGGTGGTTGATGGATCTCATTACATCTTACAATCCAAATGCTACTTCCATTGCTACATTGACTGGTTTCTGTCAAGTTTCTCTTGGATTCACCATTGATCCAAACACAGACTGCGAATAGCAAATCTTATCCTATTCTTAATTCGTTCAAAACTGATAATACGTATTGAAAATCTTCTCTTTACAGAACATAGAAGAATTTTAATTCAATGGTTTACAATTCACAGCTTAAAAATATGGCAAATATATGGTACAGTCACAGTTGTTTGAAACAAACTGAATAATTACAAGACAATCCATGAAATAAGAACATGGTAAGAGTCATTTTCACACTCCTGGAAACATTAACACAAGTCCAAGCACAATCATGACGTCCAGAACAGTCTATTTCTAAGAACTCGACTACGTTATGTTCATATTTAATAGAATTTAAACCTCCGATTCATGAGCATAACTAATATCTGTAGCCATACGTGGAACTAAAACTTACAGCAGGATCTTTGATAGGTTTTTCTAGTTTATTTAAGTGGCTGGAGTATGGATAACCTTTGCTTGTATAGTTAGCGAACAAGTTTGATCCCTTTTCTGAATTTGTGTCCATATTCAAAAGATCACGAGCAAACTTCTTACCCATACGTAGTTCCTCGTACTGCATTCTCTGCCTCGGGGCACTTTGTGACCTATGTTTAGCCAGAGACGATTCCGTATTTGCCATGTAATTCCAGTGACCCAGGTACTCACCAAACAAGCTTTTAGAACACTCACTCCTTGTAGGACTATAAGGGCTTCTTCGACTACTACCAGGTCTAGAAGACACTGGATCCACTTCCGGAGGGAATTTTATCGACCTTAAGGATGGGACATCACCATACGATATGCAAGGATTTCGTTTTTCAGATTTTGCCGAATGTCTTGACAATGAATCAAATGTTGCGGATTCCTGTCCATTCTCGTTCCAAACAGGAAAATATAGTGGAGTCTGAAACGCTCTGCCAGTTCGCTTTGGGGTTCGGTGAGGCTTACAAGTATCCATCTCAAGTATCTTGTCATTTTTCTCATCATCCCAGGGTCCGGTGTCAAGGGAAGAATACTTCTGGTTGTTACATGCATATTCTTCCATCCAGTGATCTAACCAATTGGAGCCTACCCACATGTTTTCAGTGTTAATACCGTTGGCCCTATTCGATCTCGAACCAAATTTCTGATACGCAGGAGACAGAAGTGATATACATTAAAAACGAATTTTCCATTAGCGTTAGCAAGACCAAGATAAATATGTTCTATCGATTAATGATTAATCTACGAAGGGCTCAAGAGATTACCTTCTGGTTTAGTACATCATGTTGGGCACAATTTGATCCCTGTTCACATTTTCTGAGATTGGAAATACTCTGCAGGTAAACTCATACGATTAACAGAGAGATTTAAAAAGAAAATTAATTTTAGTACAGAGATTTGCCCTTTTGTACAGATTACTATTTTTACATGTACTGGAATAAGAAAAGGAAACAAAAATGACTGACCGTGTCAAGGAGCCTTCTTGATAGGTAATTAGGCATCTCTATTTACATTTAACTCATCTTTAGTTTTTCTCTGACTTTTGAAAGATTTACCTTTTGACAAAAAGTAAGTTTTCGAACTAAAAACTTCAGGGAAAAAATTCTAAAAGAGCTCAAACATGTTTTGCCAAAAAAAAGGAACGTAACTTAAAAGTTACAATTATTACAAGTAAGTGACGATTTAGATACCAGCATGCTTCTAGCTAAGATATGGAGATTCATGGCGTAACCCAAGTGTAAGGAAATTATCTTACAGGTTTATGCAGGTTCGAGAACTTGTTCCCCAAATTAGTCGACTCTGAAGCATAAGCTCTATGTTTACAGGCTCGAGCCTGAATTCGTGCCATTGCTTGCATACGATGGAGCATATCTGCACTTCGCTTTCTGACTATACGACCTCTAACTAGAGCTTGAAGCTTTACAAGTGCCTTAAGTGCCCTTAAGGCCCTCCTAGCCTACAAGGAAATCAATAAATAATCAAACATGACAAATGCTATAGTGTCTCTTCATGAATCCTAATTTTGCTATTCCCCCTTCAACGTGTGCTTAAAAATAAGCAAAAAGTAACTTCCTTTTCACAAATTTTGGCAAATATTATCAAGATAAGTAACTTACTTTCACTTTTGATTAATGAAAAATTGTTTATTTAGAACTTACCTTTTTAAACTTTGCCATACATTCTCTCAGTCTAATACAAATGAGCATTATTGCACAAACAGGTATTATAAGTTCAGTTACATGGAAAGAGGCCCATGCGTGATCATTAAAACCACAAGCAGCTTCAAAAGCTTCATAGCAGACAATATTAATCTATTAAACTTAAAGAGTAAGATTCTGTTCTATCAATCATTTTTTTGGCTATAAAGAAACATAAAGTTGTAACATGGTACGATCGCATTACTGGTAGTAGAAACTAGACAGTCACTAACCTAGCCCCACCATGAGAAGTCGAAAACTGAAGGCCAAATAGAGGAATTGTCGCTTAAAGCAAAAGAAGGGGATTTAAGTGTCTCGTTTCGTGGGTTTGTCTGCATATACAAACTTGGCACTATACAAGAGACACGGAGTGTAAGTTGTAATTTTTATTTCACAATTGTCAACGACTAAATTTAAATAACTAAATGTGTTTCTCCAAATTTTTAGATGAGGTGGTTTCAAGTCGTTTCGCCTCCCGAAGAAAATTGTGTATGTGTCAAGCTTTTAAGTTTTAAGTCTTATCTAATTCAAGAAGGTACTAATTTGTGTCTGAATAAAGAATCTTAAATTACCTTTACCATTATAACGTGTCAGCAGAGTACTTTTTTCTGATGAAAAAGCAAGGTGACAAATGTGAAAAGAAAAAATAAACATGAAATGCATATCAAGAAAAAGTTCAATTTTCTTGAGATAAGTTGCTCTGATGCTGCAATGAGAGGCCAAATAAAAAATAAAATAAATAAGGATAAGGAGGAATCAATTCCTCGTGATTGTGGATTGTCACAGCCAAGGAGCCACCGGCCACATAGGCCTAGCCTGCCCATTGTTGTGACATAACGAATAATGTTATCTAGCACCAGCTAGGTGGCCACTTTCAATTAAATGAATTATGCGATATTGCATTTAAGTGAATTTATTATTTAAGCAGTTGACACCAAGATCGATAGTTGACACTAGTGTGCTTAATAGCATTAAGCTAACATAATAGGTCCTATCCAGCACCGGAGACATGTTGAATATTAATTTAAGAGGGTGTTTAATACACATTTTTATGTAAAAATGTATTTTAGAATAGTAAATTGATGAAAAATATATGGTTGAAAAATAAAGAAAAATTTTGATTTATGTGTAATATTATTTTAATAAAGAATCTGTGGTTAAAAAGAAGAGAGAAAAATATATTTTGAAAAAAATGGGTACCAAACGGAGCCTAAATAAATAAATGTTAACTTTTAGATTGAGTGAAATTTTAGATAAGGCAGTTTTGACATAAGCAACATTGACAAAAACAAAGACATACATCAAAGTTTGCCAGATTAAGTAAACTGATATATGAGGAATTTGTGGAAGAATTGTGAAAAATGAAGTTTTAAATAATAACTGTAGTCCTAACCAGGTAAGCTCGAAAAGCCGATTGAATCTTTATGGCCGCCAATTCCCGGTGGCGAACAAACACCGCAGCACTTCTACTCTTACTCCTGCCTGTCAGTCTGACTACCTCAGCCGCCGCCTTGGCGGCTGCTAGAGCAGCCTCGGCAACCGCCGCCGTGGCCGCTGCCACTGCTATTGCATGCTTTTTTGCGTCCAATGTCTCAACATAAGGACTTGTCAATTGGTTTTCTTCATTTTCGTATACAATGCTAGTTGATGACTTTAACAGTCTCCATTTACTCTTTTTCTTCTCCGGAGCCACCGACGAAGAAGATGCCGTGGGAGATTTTTTGGATCCCAGAAGAGACTGGAACCATTTGGTGGTCCTACCCATGTCTCATGATAGCAAGTTTGTACATTTTCTTGAAGAAAGCATTTTTAGATAGACAGATACATACAGAGCAAGAGAGTGTCAGAGTGAATACTATAGAGAGTATATGTGTTTAAAAAGAAAAGACTCGTGAGAAGGGGAAGTTTGGTAGGAACGCGCCGCCGTTGTGGTCGTGAGGTGTGGAAGTTGGGACCCCGGGAGACGACAATTGACAGGTAAGAAATTGGTCCAATTTGTATTGAGAAATCTTATTTTGTACTATTTCTCTAGTTTGTGGGACCTCAAAGCAACACTTATGATGTAAGAATAAATTTATTTTTATTTCGTTGCCTACTTTTAAGAACAACTTTTGTAATATAAAATCGCGTTACTAAAGCTAATTATTCCTATTGCCATTATTATATAATCGACATTTTAAGAACCTGCTTGGAAGTGATTTTTTTCCTCAAAAAATTGATTTTTTGACCGTTATTTCATTATTTCAGTCGTCATATTTGACTTCTTCTATCATAAGTTGACCCCATTTTTCTCCTAACGATCAAAAAATCAATTCTCAAAATCACTCCCAAACATGCTCTAAATTCAAAGATGACAAATTTTTAGCACCATGATGACCAATGTTATAAAAACTTAAAATTATTAACTTCCACAAAAAATTAGACAATTGAAAGAATTTACATACTATTAACACATCACTGATTCGATTAAAATTTTATTTTTTATATATGTATTTATTATTTCTCACCATATGTTTGGTCTAATTCAATTCTTTACCCTTTCCAAATGCATCAATGAGCGTACTTATTCATATTATAATGATAATGATGTTAAAAAATAATAATAATAAATAAATAAATAAATAAAAGAGGAGGTAAAAAATGAAACTTTTAACCAAAGTTGAAGGCCGAACAAAGAAATGACCTCGACATGAAAACTATTTTAATAAGGATAAAATGAAGTTACCAGACGAAAGCTATTTTGACTATAAGGTTAAAAGAAATCATTTTTCATTTTGTCCTTCCAAAGAAATCTTTTATAAATCTTTCCGTGTATAAATTTTTACCTAATGTGAATTTGAAGCATTTGACAAATAATGTTCTCCCTTCAGCTATTTTTTACATAAATGTTTCCAAATTTATCTCTTTAACTCCCCCACTCCCACCAAGTGGCTGGGCCCTATAGCTTGCTTCAATAATCATTACTAGACATGAATCTCTTCCAGGGGATCGTGTCTACACATTCAAAGCCAAAATGCCACACACAGACACACACGCCGTCAGCCAAATCAAGTGCATTTTCAGCCATTTATATATTTATTCAACGCCAAGGGTTAGGTGGCCCAAAAACCCATGGGCATATATAGTACGTATTATTAAAGAAAGAACTGTTCAATAAAGTGGGCATTTTAGTTTCTTTTTTCTTTTCTTTTTTTCGGGGTTAGGTGGTTAAAAAACTCAGGACGAAGAGACGAAATAACATATAGGGGCAGGTATAGAGGGGATCACAAACATGCCATATAACACATGCAAAACGTTTTAAATCTTGCTTTCCAGGATCCATGCATTTCCCAACAGTTAAAAGTAATTTTCGTCATCTTTATAATAGATTAAGTTTTTAAATGAGATGATTCACTGCAGTATAAAGTAAACAAATGTTATTATTTGAGTCTCACCATCATCTGCCTATATATAGATTGTGCAAAAATTACGCATCAGGGAAAGGGTTGAAGATAGATCAAAATATGACTTGGTTCTTTTCTAATTTAAGCTTTTAGACAAGCTCGTTCGTTAAAAACTGCCAATCATAATTCAAAAGGAACTTGAGGGATCCGATGTTTCGTCCAATGTGTCCCTGTAACTCCCTCAAGCACATATCCAAAAACTACTTTGTATTTTTTCATACCTGTAACCTTTTACATTTCAAAAGGTTAGAAAGACATTCGCCACTATTGAGAGATCCATCGACAGCTTTTGAGCACCATCACATGAGCATGAGTGAAGACAACATCTCTAGTATAAGAAATTAGTAACGGATGCAGAAGCCATAATACGACAAGTTGAGCCTGCTAACCTAGTTTCCATAACAACTTCAGCACAATTGCGTGTTGCACTCTGGATCGGAGGAAAATGCCTTCAGACGGATTTGCTAACATTGATTCTCTTTACATATTGGTCATCATTGCAGACTTTGTGGCCCTGCAATTTCAAGAACATACAGAAACCAGATCGAAAACCACAGCAGATGCTTTTTCCAGCTCAGATCAGTGAAAACACATTCAAATTGCAAGATCATGAACTACACTACAAAAAGAAATAAAAAAGGGAAGAAAACCCAAAAAAAATAAAAAAAAGGAGAGGCAATTAAAAGAAAAGAGAGACAACAATACCTTTCTTTACGCACAGGCATGCTGGTGGAATAAATTGATTTCCCTCATGTGTTTACTATTGCAGTCTGTGCCAATGCACCTCATGAACGGAAAATTGCACTTCAATCACTCTTGTCAAGGGACTCTTTTAAAATATCCAACAATGGAAGCAATAGAAACTCTGTACAGCATATACATTCATCAAAAAAATTGTTGGGATAGAAAGCCACTGCTCTCTTTATATATTAAACACCGGTAGCTCTGTATCTGTGATTGTAATCCATGAATGAAGATGAATGTGGGTTTTGGTTGTCATGATCCATAACCTGCAAGTCCATGATAAAAGGGAACAAATTTTAAATTTTCCTTCTGGAAATTAACGTATCGGCAGATTTATGGTCCTAGAAAATATATATTGCACATTACCTGCCTCAACTGGGTACCATTGGACATAGACTCTTGGAATTGATTACGAATCAATGATTCCTATACAATGATATATATGCATAAAAAAATAATCAATTAAAGAATTCCTAAAATGCTTTATTGTGATTGTTTCTTACGATCATTAAGGGTGAAAAACTTACTTGTAGAAATTGAACTTGGTCGGGAGAATGCTGCTGACTAGAGTAAAAGTTATGCTGCTCATACATATTAGAATTAGGTTGCTGGTTGATTGTCAAATTTGGTGTTTGATACATGTTATGTACCATATGATTTGCTTCAACAGGATATAAACCCTACAAATAAAAAAGAATACAAGATCAAATTCTCAATATAGCAGCAACCATTTCTTGAAGATGGTAAAAACTAATACGACAAGTCTAACCTGTGTAAGAGGATTCATTGTCGGGTTCGGACTTGGGGACGAAATGTATATTGAAGGAACACATGCAACTGATAAAACAGTCTCTGGTGGAGATGGATGCATGCTTAGACCCCCACTTCTACTGGGAATTGCTTCATCACAATGATTTAATTGATCTCTACCTGGGACGATACTTTCTGTTTCAGCTGCCCCTCTCAGGACACCAACATCCTGAACCTCAAATTCACTTTTATCAAGACCCATGTCGGCCATTTCATCTTCAGAAGCACAAGCACCTCCACCGCTTGTAGTTGTATCTTTAGCTTCCTCGTAGGGTTTAAAATTCAAGATTCTTTCAACACCTTGCACTACTTCATTGAGTTGTCTTGCAGCGAATTCAAATGCTGAGTCAGATACAGCAGCTCTTGCCGATATTTTAAGAATCTTGCGACCAATATCTCTGTACCGAGTGGCAATTAACTTTTTGTTGTCTTCCTCAGGAAAACCATAATTTTCTATGATGCTTTCAATTCTTGCATCTTTTGTCCATCTCTTCAGGATGTAGTGGAATGGGACCACCTTTATATTTTGATGATCAAGCACTTTGAGGGCATGGCTACAAAGAAAACCAACATGTTCAAACTTCATACAATTGCAAGTAACCGTATGATCAAGAGAATTATATACAACTGAGCATTCTTTAGACTTCCCATAAGTTTTTAGTTTATACTCAAATCTTGAATCACGGTTAGTGCACTTGTTAACAACGACGTTTAAACACTTCTCATATTCTCGTTGAAAAACAGCAAATGCCTTGGGTGTATAAACATTGCTTGGATGCTTTAACAAGACTGCATTAGCCATCAACATTGGAGCATTTCTTGCCATGTCAAATGTCGATTCTAGTTCTTTATACCTTTGTTCATTTACCATGCTCTCAAAATGCTTGAAAAACTGAAGCACGTCAACATCAGAGCCCAAGTAGTTTCTCAAGTTATCAGACATCTGCTCAACTAGATGTGTGCCATTTTTTTCAACGAAGAAGGTATTTCTACCATATGCTATAGCCCATTTTTCTTTCTCTCTGAACATCCATCTCAACCACGCATTTTGGCGCAGTCCATGTTTCTCCAACATGCAATCCCAGGCATTGATGAAATCTTCTTCGTGCTCATGACAAAATATGCAACTTCTAAAATCTTTGGCAAAAGAGTCATATTCCATTATGGCGTGATGAAGATGTTTAAGTGCAATTCGATACATCTGCCATGCACATATACAGTGGCTTGTTTCTTGTAAAACTGAATGAATAGCTTGGACAATTGCAGCATCTTGATCTGTGAGAATGAATCTTGGTTTTTTACCCGACATTGCCTCAACAAAAGTTCGAAACAGCCACTTAAAAGAATCGACAGTTTCATCGTATAAGAAGGCGGCACCAAATATCAGTACCTGTCTATGATGATTCAGTCCAGTGAACTGCACAAATGGACGAGAATCTACATTTCTTGTGGCTGATGTATCAAGACAAACCACATCGCCAAAATGACCATATTCTAGAATCATATTGTCGTCGGCCCAAAATATGTTGCTTATCTTATCCTCGATATCAAGTTGTACTGAATAAAAGAATGAGGGGTTTTCAAAATGTTGCCTCTGGAAATAATACAAAAGACGCCCTGCCTCTCCCTCCTTCAAATCTCTTGTCCGTCCAGATTTAAGATAAATTTCATCACCTATTTGAAGGCATTCATGATTCTCTGGGGTGCAAAATTGTATACCCAACAGTTGAAAATATAATTTTGATTGTATCTCGGAATTCTTCTTTGAGTCAGTTTCAGAAACTTCAGTAGATTCCACTTTTCCTGGTAATTGTAATTCCAGCAATTTCTGAGCTTCACTTAGGTTTACATCCTCATGGTTGTGCTCTGCTTCAAAATGTGTAACTTGATATTTACCATTAGGTTGACGGGTTACCACCATATGCGCCAAACAACCAGTTCTTGTTTCCTTCCGGTGCTTCTTCACATTAGCATCCCGCTTATCTTTCTTACGATAACCTTGTCTTGAACAGGTGAACTTTCTGGACATCACTCGACCATGTACTTTACTCCTATTAACCCAGTCCTTCCTAACGCTAAAACCTACCAACTCAGCATACTTGGTATAAAAACTATATGCTTCCTCATCTGATTCAAACTCTGCACCAAGTTTGAGCAATTCATGTTCCGCTGAATTACTCAACTGAACTGAATTAACGTCTAACAACTTTGGGCTACGGGCATCATGTTCCACGTTCAAGTCCAAATTATTCGAATTCCTGATATCCCCAGGACCTTCATGGGTAATAACAAGCTCACAATCATCGCTATCCATAAACTTTCCCTACAAGAAGAAAACACAATAACAAATAAAAATCATGGATTACACAATATTCCAATTATCAAAACCCTTGGATATCGCAGTATGTGTTTCCTATTGCACAATCATTCTCAATAAAACTTCACGAGCCTTACAGGCACGTTTTCACATCCATGCTTATAAAATAGGTGAAGATATGGATTAATAGAGTCATTCTTGCCACAAATTAGGAGGAAGAAAGTATCCACCCACTACCCTAAGCAACATCGGATGCTAGGAGACAACGTAGTAAAGGAGAGATTTTGTTGCATTGGAAGAATTTATCCCTATCACATGCCACTTGGGAAGATATGGAGAATTCAAGGCATAATTTCCAAATTTCTTCCTTGGCGACAAGTATGATCTTATGAGGGAAGAAGTTGTTAGTGATTTTATAAGACAAGGATTAATTGGTGAATTTCTCTTGGCTGTAATTCCAATTAGGACTCCATAAGACAGGAGTACCTTTTTCTTGGGAAGTGCTATTATTTCGGATATGGGCTTGAAATGGGAAGGCTATCATTCAACATTAATTTTCTTTCACAATCAACTAAATAAGACTCTCACATGGGAGCCATTCAGTTCTTTAAAATTTAGAAGTTTCTTATTTTACTTTGTAAGCCAACATGCTATTTAATCCCTACATTTTTAGAGTAAAAGTATCAAAGAATTATCCTTTCAGCTTGTTTGTCGAAAATGAAGGCCTACGGTTCCTTGAATTACCCACCAAGGAGGATTGAGATCCATTAAAGTATCCTAGACCAACATCAAAATAGAACCCACAAACTCGATCCGTCGGCTTTTCCCATGCGTAAACCAATTAGATGTTCTTCTTCTAAGCAACATAACAATCTCTCTTACTTATTCAACGAATTAGATAAACTTGCATCGATGAGAAACCTCCACTTCATCAATTACAATTAAAGCTTCACTAATCCATACAACACATAGAACAGCCAATCATTACCCGCAAAAGGGTCCCTTTTCTCTGATTAACGCTCTGACCCCCGAATTTTTACGGCCCATCGATAAAAACTAAGCTTGCTTAGTTCTAGAATTTTACCGTAACTTTAAATTAGAACGCAACAGAAGAATTTAGAGAAATAAATATACCTGAGTAGATTTTGACCAAAAATAGGGTTTCCAATCGGCTGAAAGGGCTGGGTTATCTTTCACTTTTTCACGGCTCTGCTTCTATTCAAGAATTGTATGCGCGTTGCTTCTGTTTTTTCTTTTGATTTTTTCGACAAAAGCAATATCGATTTGGAAGTCCAGTTTCTGGATTAACAATTAATGGGATGGAGAAGTTGGGGCCTTGCTAAAATTTTAAAAAGATTGGGGGTGTAATTGCAATAAAAAGGAACAACATACATTCTTACCATTTAGGCTAAAGCACGACCCCCTGGACAACCAGGGGTTATTCAACGAGCACATCTTTCTATAAATTTTCGAAGTTACCGATTTTTCATCTTAAGTTAATATTTCAACTGTTCATTTAAAAACAGTATTTTTACACCGGTAGCATACTTTTTATTATACTAGTTTAGGCTCCGTGCAATGCACGAATTGTATTATATGAAGGGTTATATTAGCATTTTGAATGTTAATAATTGTATAAAGTAAATTATGTTCAACGCTGGAGTAGTAATGAACAAGTTTTTAATTAGGAAACTATTGAACAAAGATATGTTTTTATATTCATAAAAATTGGGTTCTTTTTTGTTGTTTCTGTTATCCTTTTGAAAGTGTATGTTTTAGTTGGATGGAAATGGAGATCTAGAAGTAAGGCACAAATTGAGAAAAAACAAGAGGCACCATTTAGCACTTATATACTACATCTAATATTTTTTGAAAATAATAATTGGTACAATGTTGAAAGTTAAATATTTACATGCCACTTATATCAGAACTAAAGGAGACAACCATCAGCTGATGCAACAATAAATAAAGAATAAGTTCAATGCCAATAGCCCTTTCATCAGCCAAGGAAAAGTATTCTACACTGACGAAAAGACTGTGATTGCACATTCATCAGATTCGAAGATGGAAGACCTAATCACTTCAGTAATAAATAGCACCAGGAATCAACCAATTATATGATTACCACTGCCTAGAGAAACAGGATTGACAGAATTCAATTATATGGACAAGCGATATCTAGAAGAGTAGGACAAAAATGGCTCAAAGCCTAAAACAACATTTGCTCAATATGGACTTTGATTTAAATTTTTAAAAACTTGCAATTAATATATAGTTTGCTCTATACTTACCACCAATTCACAATAAACATAATATTGAGGAAACCTCCCAAGAATTCCCACCATAGATGTTTGAGTTGCATCTAAGAAGAGAAATATCATTTTCTTTACACAAATATCAGGCTGTACGAACAGTGATAAAAAATTACTTCTGTAAATTTAATCAATAAATGACTGAGAATAAGACATGAAAAATAATTTCTACCTTTTTCTTAACTACCATTACAAATATAGGAAGAATACCCATTCGTGACCGTGCCTATAACCTGATAATAAACATGTTTTCCAATATTATTCATCAACATCTCAAGAAGCTATGAATCCGACAAAAAACAAAGTCTTATCAATGCTTCAAAGCAAGTGGTCAGGGGGACATATATAATCCACCGCAACTAAAAGAGATCCATCAAAACAAGCAAAAAAATTATATACCCTATAAGTACTTACGAGTACTGTAAACAATTGTGTGTTGGAATCTTTGCTTCCCAAGTATTCTTTATAACTTTTACAACATCTTTAGCTTGTCTATATTACAAAAATACATAAAATAGTGGTGAAGTGGGTAGTGACATTCAAAAACACAGTTAATGTTAAATTAAACAACACTAACCTTGTTTTAAGAATTAAACTTCATTCAGCAAGATAAAAGTAACTTCAGCACCATGTTACAGACTTAAACAACAAAAGTATTTACTCCTTCAAATTCAAAACCACTATAATAGATATTGAAATTGAACATTTAGAATACAAAATTAATAAATGAAGATACATCAACTACTGTTAAAGTATACGTGGATTATCAGCTTACTGAGTTCATTTAACTTCTAATACCAGATGCATCTAGCTAATAGAATAATAGTTAGGTGGGGCTGAATTTTCAAGTTTGATATTGACTATGTTCGAAAGAACCAACATTGAGGCTTTTCCTCATTCCATTTCCCATTTCATAAAACTTGAAATTGGAACAAATTTAATGTCTCATATTTGCCGTCGAAGAACCTACATTTATTCCAATGTATAAAAACATGTAAAATAAGTAATTTTGAATCTATGAATATAAGATTATAGATTGAATTTTGATAAAGGAATCTTACTGAATTTTCATAATTTGTTATGGTTAGGATAAACATGGATGTAAAAAATATTTATTGTGACAGATATCTATGACAATCTTTCGTCCGTATAAACGTATCTTCTTTGGTGAAACTGCTTCTAATGGATATCCGAAAACGAAGCATTCAATGTATTTGAGAAGGAAAACTCCAGAATTTGGCCTATAGAAAAAATAATTTGAAGTTAGTTTATGTTAATATTGTAAATGTAAAATAAAATTAAATAGAAAATTAAATATTACAGTAAATTGTTGACGTGCTTATCCATTATTTTGACAAGGTAGATACGGTATGATTTTCAATTTCATATGTTTATTTCTATGTTTTCTTAAACTTGTTTGCCCAAAAAAATGTCTGTAGATATCAATAATGATTGTACTACAATCAAAACTGATTCTGCACGTAATTTCATTGTGTCCGGTGCATGAATGTTGTGGCTGCAATCATATACATGAAATTTCCACTTTTGAAAGTCGACGAGAAAAAGAAACCAAATGTTGTTTGGATATGCGGATGGAATCAATAAATAGTTGTATGTTATCCACGGACGAGCAAATACAGGTAATTCTCTTTTTATATACTGTTGTAATGCATTGAAATTACTTGTAGAATAGTCCTCTCCTCTTTTTATAATTGTATACCAATGAACATATTCATTCTCGAATCTAAGATCCATGATTATATATTTTTTAGAAAGCAGGGGAGATCCATCGTGAATAAGTCTTCTAAACAGCTTTAATTCTATATCAATATGCTAGTAAAAAAATTGTAAATTAGATATATTAACAATGGAATAAAATTAATTATAATTACTAAAGTTGACTTACCACAATATTTATATCTTTCGTTTGATTTATTATATTTATCAGTGACTGTCTTCCGTATAGATTGTTGATTTCATCTTTTCAGTATATGCTGTACAAGAAAAAATTAAATTGTCGTCAAATAAGTAAAAGACAAATTAGAATATTTAAGTTATCTTAGAATATTTAAGTTATCTTACTCTGATGGATTTTGTGATATTCATTCTCTAATGTTTTTGTATCTGTCGATGTTATAGTCTTCTAAAATATTAGTTGGCATTGTCGATGGAGATTATGTCTATTTTTGCTTACCTTTTTTTTTTCTTTCGTCGATCTTTCAACGTTTTCTATATGTTCAAATGTTGAATGAATTTCGAATTCAACTGGACTCATATGAGGAGGCATTTCTCGTTTTACAAAGGCTACAATTGTTTCCATGTGTGATCGTATGCCCTGAAGTAGTCTTGTTGGTCTTTTTGCTGATGTTCAAAAAATTGTTTCTAATTGTCAATAATTGTTTGACAGAAAGCTTCTTGCTTTTCAAGAATTGTATGATACCGAGCTTCTTGCTTTATTGATTCTTGAATCATCTGTGTTTTTAAGCTATTGTAGAAACCAAAGACATCTTGTCTGTGTATATTGAACATCTATTCCATATCTTGTTTAGTTACATAGTTTGAGTTACCAAAAAAAGTAGATTCAATTCCATCTGAAGTGTGGATAGTTCTTTCTTGTGTATGTATGTTATCTACTGTAATTTGTTGTGTTACATTGTCCAATTCACCATTAACAATGTTGTCTAGTGTATGATGTTGGTTGTCAATTGGTAGCAAAATATTTGTATACCAGAATGTTTACAATTCTGCTTCACTGGGATTTAGCGTTGTAATTACTGTAATCTATAATTGTAATAAAATATCAGATGTATTTTTTAAAATTTATTTATAAAGAATTAAATATATATTTAATTGTATATTGAAATAAACATACCTCTTAAGCGCCAAAAATTGTCTAATAACATGTTCCATTAATACTATTTGAGGCTGTCATTTATGCATTCGTCGACATTTTAAGCTTGTACGAATACGATAACCGAATTGTCGTCCAATTTGAGGAAAAGCTTCATATATCCAGTACTGAAATATAAGTAAAAAGAAATATTAAAGTTTTTATATGATTAAATTATATGTAATGGGGAAAAAATGAACGAAAAATACCTGGAATGCAAGCGGATAACCATGCAATGAATATTTACAGTCTTTTGGTCATTTTGTTGGATTTTTCGTACTCTTTCAAACTGTGATTCTTGTAATGAATTTAATAAAACAAAGTATGCCTTACGTCCCCATGGATACATAAGGAACTCATTAAGTTGTTCGACCATTCCAAGAGTTCTGAAATCGATGTGTCTTCCAGTTGGTTGTAAAACGCATTCGACGAACATAACTAATCCCAACTTAAATTTATCTTCTTGATCTTGACACATATGAAATACTTCAGAAAGTCTTATCATTGTAATTATCTTTGAACTATTGAAGTATCATCCCTAAGTCGAGTATCACTAAAATGGAGATTAACAGTAACTTCATGGCATGGTATTCCAGTTATTAGACAAAATTCTTACAGGCCAAAACTGGCTACATGATCGTGTAATTGTACCCAAGCTTTGTTATTTTTACCGCAATTTATAAGTCTCATTATGAACTCATGTATTAATTTGCAACTAAATTTTTCATTTTTCTTTTTATACATATTTTCGCAAATGAATCCATGGAATTGACTGCACAATAAAGAAGCTTGATCGTCTGCATCTATAAGTTCTACAAAATTTTTAAGATATTGATTATTTGCAAATTGAGTAATCGTAGCAGAGAACCATTGATTTGGAGATAATATGTATTCTAACGACATCTGTAAAAATTATTAAAAAAATTATTCATTAGTCAACAAATTTATTCATATACTAATCTAACATAATTTTTTAGAAGCTGGCAATTTTTTTTTTAATATGATGAATGATATTTTACATACTACAACTTTATTAAAAATAAATTTAAGATTATATCTATACTACTTGAAGCATTATTTTTTGTAGTTGATCTGAAACTGTATATG